ACTTTTGAATGGTAGTGTATTTACTATCAATTCATATACTGATTATTTTCTCTATTAATTTATTCATTCTTTAAACTATAAAACATCAGAATAGTGAAAAATGCCAATCAAAATTTCCGAGACTCCAATTTAAAGGACAGAAGAAAAAAAACAACTGGAACTAGGAAATCTTTGGTATTTTTGCTTACAAATCATTGAAATTTTGGATTATTTATTTCAGCTCTGATGGAAAAGTAGAGAATTGTCTGGGTCGCCAGATTTTTTGAAATATTCATGATCCTTGCCCTTTAAAACAACGTCACCCTTTACACCTGCGTCTGACTTGACCTTACTTGGAGCTTAAACACTGATACGGTGATTCATACCACAAATTCCTCAAAATGAGTTGTTCTTTTAGTATCTTTCTGTCTCTAGCTTTTACTGAGCACTCAAGGTTTAATTATCATATGAAAAGACACATTGTTATCACTTTGTCTAATAAAGCCTCTGGGAGTATATATAAATATACACACGCAGGCTCCTGACACCAGCCTAACGGACTATGAAACTCTCATTGAATGATTCTGGGTAACAGAAACATGAATGGGTTCCTTGAACGTCTCCAAGCACATCATATGTTGATCACCACCACTAGCTGGAGGACGTGCTAGATTCTGTACGGGGTACCAGTTATGATTATTAACTTCTTCAGACTGTCTAAACATTGTAGTTTATGCTTTACTGTATGCAGCAGTTGGCCAGGTGCGCAGAGGTTTCAGCCTGTCTCTGAAGCTCTCTTTTTTGTGTGTCACTTTTCATGTGCAGCACCATGAATACCCTCAAGCAGAGACTGTAAGTGTGTGCCCCCTTTCCCATTTGTCGAATTCATTGCATCAAGACTATATAGACACACAAAACTCAAGAGTCCTTGGAAAGAGGTAAGGGAGGCTGTGGGATGCAGCCAGAAGGAGACAGTGACGGGAGGATTTTCCCCACTATCTTTGAGGGTGGCTGACCTGAACAGTTTTACTTTTAGAAGTGGTTGAATGACACGTTGTACAAACTGGTTCATTCCAGATGAGCTTCCCCTCCACCCTCTCTGTTTGTTTAATGACAAAATAGGAAAAATAAGTGTCATAGAAGGGCCTGCTTGCTTATGGATGATAATGCAAACACACAATACGATCCGTATTGTTTTTGGCACCAAGCCCAAAAGTTTAGTTCATATAATCTTTAGTTTACAGCAGTAGTGCCACGTCGAAAACAGAGGAATGATAGCTCCATGTATGAAATGAGGCGATCAATCAATAAGGGCTGGAATTACTACAGTAATAATCTATTTTTTTCTTGATTATTCCATTAATCGTTTTGGTATATTAAACATGAATAACTAATTAGAAATGACCATTACAAACTCTAAAAAGTCAAACATCTGACCAACAGTTCAAATATAGATACTCAGTTTGCTGTCATATATGGCATTTATGCTTGAAAATTGACAGTCAATTATCAAAAGAGTCGTTTTTCTAATCAATATATAAACTAATCGTTTCAGCTCTACGATCAATGCATACATCCATCGATCTACTTTCCCATGTTGCAGGTGAAAGGAAGCAGCCTCTTTGTTTAACGTGAATTCAGGGGAAAGCACAGAACATTAAAGGAACAGCACATTTCCTCCTCTGCTCGCTGCTGTCCTCGGCTAACCCCACCCTGCCCAACTGCCAATCCTCCCTATAATACTGCATGTGCCTGTAGCTCTTCATGTGTGTGCACATGTACATAGGGGCGTGTATCTGGTGCATCATACAAAGTGTTTGTATTAGCACATGCCTTTGTAAAGAGCCGTTCGATTACCCATCAGCTGATGATTGACATTGACGTTGGGAAGTGATTGACGTGACTTGACATGTTTTAAATAACAGTAAAGGATGGTTGTAGAGCACAATGGCAGCAATTGGCATGCAAATTAGGGGAATGGTTCAGGTGACTGTGTGCTTTGATGAGACAATGAAACAAATGGAAGCTTCTCATGTGCTGCAACAGATTATTCGAGTGTAACCATTGAACTCTGACATGTGTGAAGCTGTGTGTGCCTGCAGTATATCTGTCTGCAGTTTGCTGTCTGGCTCTGAGCTTTGGCATTGATATGTCATTCCCTCTGCATGCTATATCTATTTTGGTGTGTGTGTGTGTGTGTGTGTGTGTGTGTGTGTGTGTGTGTGTGTGAGATGCGTCAGGGACAAAGAGTTCACACTGCAGCAGTGCTGTCTATCTCCTTCCCCTCTCCATCTCCTCTCCCACATGCCTCCCTCCCTCATTCTGCATCCTTCTCCATCCATCTCTTTCTCTCTCTTGTTCTTTCTTTTTTCCCTTGGAGTCTGTTTCCTTGACTCAAACGATCTCTCAGTATTTCTGACTGTCTGGATGCACAGCTCGTCTCTCTCTCTCTCTCTCTCTCTCTCTCTCTCTCTCTCTCTCTCTCTCTCTCATACACACAGTTTGGGGTTGTCTGTACATTTTGTGCTGCGTGTGCCAGCCTGTTTGTATAAAGCTGTGTGCCTGAGATGATAGTAACAAGAAATATTTGATCAAATTTATTCATATAAAAGTTAGTTTTTACTTTCTTTTTGGATACATTGTAGCATTTAGGGTGTATTGATCTCTCAATATCACCCAATATTTAGCTAAAGCTAACTTTTACAAAGTATGCAGGTGTGCTTGTGTAGCTTTCTTCTTTGTGTGCTATTTGACATTTAATGATCTGTGTGCATGTGTGTGTCCATCACTTTCATTCCAGCTGTTCTCCCTCCATCTCCTCATTTGACCTCTCAGTCTCTCTCCCCACTGTCTGTCTCTCTCTCTCTCTTTCCTTTTCCCAACTGTCTCTCGCCAGTATATGTCAGATCCTCCCACATTGTGTGTGTAGTTTACCCTCAGTCTGCCTTTGCGTGTGTGTGTGAGAGAAAGAGTAAGACTGTTTGATGCGTCCTTTTTTTTAGGTCTGCCTCCAACGTATACGCTTGATGTGTGTGAAGCTGTTTGGTACTGATGTCTGCTTGTGATGTACAGTGTACGACCCTGCACAGTGTGTGTGAGAGAGAGATAGAGTGTGTGTGGGTGAGTATAATCTCTATAACCTCATACGGATATAGAAATCTTCCTAAGTAGGGTTTTCTTTTGTCTTCAATGTGTGTCTGTGTGTGTGTGTGTGACCATACACTCAGTTTTTTACTTGCATGTACTTGCATCCAGGTGTCTTAGCAGTGTGTATTAAGTGTGTGTGTGTGTGTGTGTGTGTGTGTTTACAGGTCTGCAGTGTGTAGATGTATTTGTGTACATTGTGGTTAAGCACATGTGGTGTGTGTGTGTGTGTGTATGTGTGTATCAGTAGTGCCTCAGTGTGTGTGTGTGTGTGTGTGTGTGTGTGTGTGTGTGTGTGTGTGTGTAGACAGGGAGGGAAGCAGACAGTGCGAATGTGACTTGAGTGTCGGGAACACAGAGTTCAGACAACTGCGCCATCCCTCCCTCTTCCCCCCCGTCTCTCCTCTCCCTCCCTTTTTGCATCCTTCCTTCCTTCTTCCTCTTTTCCTTCCATTCCTCCCTTTTTCATCTCCCTCTTCCTTCCCCTTTTATCAGTCCTGGCTGTCGTTTCCTCTCCCCTTCCTCTCTTTTCTTCAATCTCCCACTACTTCCTCCTCCCCTCTTTCCTCTTTTCCTTCCTCGCTCATCCCTTCTTCCTCTTTCTCTCCACTTTCTCCACCTCCCTCTTTGTCTTTTCCTCCGTCTCTCCGTCTGAGGCGACCCACTCAGGCGTCAATGAATAATTCAGACTGTGTTGCACTGCAGGTTTTCCCCCTCTCCGCCCCTGCCCCTCCCCTCTCCTCCTCTCTCCCTCGCCTTTCCAGCTCCGCATCATCCCTCCTTCTTTTCTGTAAAAACAGGAAGAATTCAAAGAAAATTTGCCTTCTTTTGGTTTGGTTCTCTTGGCTGAGTGTTTGATTCTTATTTTGGATAATTGACGGAACAAGTGCAAATATCTTAGTGTGTGTTAGTGAGTAAAAACAGAAAGAAAAAGGGGGAGAAATCCCCTTTAGTGTTTAGTATTCTGCAGTTCTTTCTACAGGTTCTGGGTGTGTGGTGTCTCCTCTCTCTCTCTCTCTCTCTCTCTCTCTCTCACACACACACACACACACACACACACACACACTTTCAGAGGAGGTGCCATGCACACGCTCAACAGTACGGCTCTCCCACTACCCCTCCCAACCTCACACCTCACACACACACACACCTCCATCAGCATCACCCCTCTCACCCCCGCTCCCTCTTCTTCTCCGGCTATCTATTTCCCGTTACTACTGATTTGCGACGAAGCGAGGCAACAGGGGCTCAAGAGATGTGAGGAGGAAGGATGGAAGGAGGGTGTGTGAGTGTCGGAAGGAGTGAGTCACGGAGTGGACGGTCAGTCAGGAGCAATGTGATGACCACTCAGCAACCAGGAAGCTCTGTACGCTGCCGAGCTTTCCAAGAATCTGCATGTGACAGTTGATACTGATAATCCACAACAACACATACGCACTTCACCTGCTTAACAGGAAAAATGACGTTGCTTGTGAGTGTCTGACGTGTGTTCCCTGATAGGAAGTTGGAAAAAAACAGTGACTAGTGATTCCAGAAAGCTATCGTCCCTTATGAAATATTCACTTACTACAGATGATTTATTAGATGAAACCTTTGTAGTCGTAATCCCGATGTAGGAGGACCTATACATCGAACACTCTAAAAGTGGATTTAAAAGGTGAAAATAATAAATGACTTTCACTTAAATGCAAAATTACAGAGGTTGTCTACAATTAATCATGGAATGAGTGGGTGGTCCTGATGTTTTAAACATATTGTGTGTATGTTTGGTGAGTTATAGCTGCTCTTCATGCATGTGTACATCAGTAAACAGCCAGAAATAGGCAGTGGAATTTAGATGGAGGGATATAAATTTGGAAAAAGGCTCCAGCCGGTCATTCTTATGACAGAAGAGATTTTTATTTGGTGTAAAGACTAAAATGAGGTTCATGTGGAAACTTTAAGGTAAGGAATTGCCAATAAAAACACAGCCGAGGGTATTTTTTCCTTAAACCCCCCTCATAACTCACACAGGTTGATGCTTCTTATCTTTTATGTCCACAAGACATGTACCAGCCCTAAAAAGGAAGAGACGGACACCAAAATAGAGTGAAACAGGTCAAGTTGGAGAGAGGAGCAAAAGGCAAACAACCAAAAAGAATGATGGAAAAGGAGGGATAGACGCAAAGAGACCAAAACACAGGGTAGAGGAGGAGAGTGGGTAAAGAGGAAAAAGGGGATATTTACATGAGGCTACCCTCCTGAAGTGGCAGTTGCTATGGCGACCACGCCTGAGCGTCTAAGCACTCCAGGTTTGGAGGCAATGGGAGGGGGCTGGACGGCGGGGGAGTGTGCCCTGTGAGCCAATCGCAGCTCTCTGCTGGGCTCTGACACATTTCCCACATGCAGAGCCCCGGCGTTAACAAGGTTACACAACGGTCTCCCAAAAAACACAGAATCACATCGCTTAAAAACAAGGTCGGGTTCCTCCAGGCTGCTGGCGGATGACTCAGGTTGTTTGTGAGTGTGTGCCGATGGAAAGCCATGATAGCTTATCTGAAGAAAAACAAACATAAAAAGAGAAACAGGGACAGAGATAAAGACATGTGAGTGATACACAAAGTACAGACACTTGGTGACAAGACCCTAAAAAAAAAAAAAAAAAGCAATTCACTTGTGTTACATGATTAACTTTTGTTGGCTGATGGAGTAAACTTGGAGATTTTGGGTACACACTGTGCTGCAATGTTATGTGTCCCACACAAACATCACATGACCAGGAAACAGAAATTCATCATCTATTGTAGAGTGGGAAGAAAATGAGGATGACAGTGCATGTTTAGAAGGTTGAATTAGACTCCTTGTTTCTCTATTACAGTCTAAGTGCTTCATTTATACAGACATGTTCCCACTGAAGTGGTAAATCAGAGTGAACTGTAAAAAATTGAATTTGATCATTTTCAAAGTGGGTAAAATCTGACCCCTGTGCATGTGCTTCATTGAACTTCTAATTCTTCTACAATGCAATGACAACAAAAGAATAAGTTTGTTCACTTTCTGGCAGACTTTGAAGAAAAAGTTGATACCACTGTCTGCCTACTCATGTCTCATCAATCTGATCATTTAACTCTCCGCCAGAAAGCAAATGAGAGCATTCCCCAAAATGTAAAACCATTCCTGTCAGTGAATCTATTGTCTTTTATCTGCACTGCACAGTCTGGATTTTCCAGACCAGACTTCAACCACAAGAAGACACAACAACAGCACATGTGTTTGGTTTTTGCATGCGGCTGAACCTGAAATGTGTCGGAAACAAACAGAAGAAAACAAATGTGTCTTTTTCCCACACTCGTGTGCACATACAGATTTCCAGCTTATTTTTCTAGTTCATATTTTCATCAGATGTGGGTTACATCCCATAATAGATGTGAACAGTGAAGCAGAAAATTAGATATGAGCAGCAATGTGGAACTGATCATGAAGGCCTGCAGCCTAGGAGAAGACACTGCTGTCTCTGTTGTGTGTTTGTTTGTCAGCTGTGTGTGCTGGTGCCCACAGAGAGGTCTTCACATGACTGGCAGGGAACAGGTTTGATCCTGCAGCAGCCATGTCCCTGTTCCTGTCAAAGTGTGCTTGAGAAAAAGACTGACGCCTCGCCTTCTCCTGGATGTCATCTGACCCTGTGCTGATTTGGGTTTATGACTCGACTGTCACAGAAACGTCCAACAGAATGTCCTCAATTTTTAATCCCAAATGTGCTCAACTCAGTTAATTCCATCATACGTGTTGAGCTTCCACAAACCTGTACTCATTTCAAATGGGATGATTCATTTATTATACAGTTGAAATCAATAGGTCATAAATGTCTGCACAAAATTTCATGGCAATCTATTCAGTAGTTTAAGATATTTCAGTCTGGACCAAAGTGGTAAACCCACTGACACCTTCATAGTTGAGGATGAATTCTAATGAACTTGTGATATCCTAATTTTGCTCTTTGATCACCAGCAGGTCATAATTTTGACTTATCTCAACATCTACTAGATGGATCAGCACACATTATGTTCATATGTTCATGGTCCCTTCAGGATGAATCGTAAAAAACGTGATCGCTTAACTTTCCCTTTAGTGTCATTTCAACATTTGCTTTTATTTTGTATGAAGTTGTATTATGTGAAGCAACTTATAACCCGGTTTTAAGAGTCACTATAGAAAAAAGTTTCTTCTTGTACTTATTATTATTATTAGTTGTATTATCGATCAAAATTTCAGCTTGTCCAGTATTTTAGCTGATGACCAAATACCTGCAAAACTAATGAAATACCCATCTGCAATATTTTGTATTTAGAACTAATTAGTAAGTGTTAGCACCACTATGCCTAAGAGTCACAGTACTGCTAGCCTGCAGACTCCTCTTCGTGTTGCTTATTAAAGTACTTAAATGATTAATCAATTACCAAAATGTATTTTATCACTTAAAGGTCCAGTGTGTAATATTGAGGACAATCTATCTATCTAATATTCATAGCTATGTTTTCATTAGTGTATAATTATTTTGTTACCTTAGATGGAGCGGTTTTTATCAGGGGAGGCATTCCTCTTCCACGGACTCGGCCATGTTGAATCGGCATGTTTCTACCGTAGCCCAGAAGAGACAAACCTAACACAGGCTCTAAATAAGGCAGCATTTTTCATGGCCACCATAGTTTCTCCTACGTACTTGGAACGGGAGAGTCCAGCAAGGTTTAGTTTGTTGACAACATTCTAATATGGTATTCCTTAAATACAACATAGTCAACTTTGTCACAAAATGAAAAACAAAAAAAACACATAACGTAAATGACAATAAGTAGACACAAAATCACAAAAACAGACAAACACTTCAAACTAGGTCAAAGGTACATATGTCAGCAGAAGAAGGTACTGTATCTAGCACTTAGGAAGAGGTTTGCAAACATCCTGGGTAATATCTGTTATTATGCAAATCCTCTGAATCACAAAAGCAAACAAAGGCTCAAAAGACAGATCGTGTGAACACACGTATGTTTAACAGCTTGGAAAAGTCATACCTGCTAGCTGTCAAATGTCACAAACAAAAGGTGAACAATTCCTGGAATGCAAATTTACGCCTTTATCTTTAGCTGTTTGACTGTGCAGTGAGTATTTCCTCTTTTCCTCTTCCCCTGTTGAGGTTGAAGGACAAAAGGTTGCGGACATCATATGCAAATGTGCCATTTACGTGGATGAGCAAAAGGAAAGGGTTTGAGCCCATCATAGGCCAAAAAAATGTCCAATAGTCCAACAGCCACAGAGATGAGTGAAGGTTGCAGGTCTGGTTGCTGTCAGTATCAACCACATATCTTTGGTTGCTGTGCTTGTGAGTAAAATGTAAATATGCTGTGTGTTACACTGTCGACAAGAGTACCAGCATAATGACTGAAAACCTTTAAAATATGCTTCAATTTTAAGTGTAGCTGTTTTAAATTATAAATTAAAATTGGTGTTCTCTATCAGTTTTATTTTGTTGTTGTTGCTTGAGCTCTTTAAATGAGCCAGCCTGGGAAAACAAGCTAGACTGCACTAAAAGCTAGCGTGCTGCATCAGGCTTTGAGTCTTTTGTGGTGGGATTTCTGAATATATAATAATCCAGTTAAACACATTCATGCTTTAAAACCTTGAATCTGTCTTTTATTCCAATGGACATCAGGTACAATGGCAAAGGTTAAAGAAGCAGCTTTATACTGTGGGATGAGAGGCATTAATGCTTTCACCCTCTACAGCTAAAGTCAAGGTGCCCTTGACAGAGGCGTCTGCCCCCGGCTGATCCAGAGCAAGTACTCTGTGGCCGACGATTAGAGCAAAACGTGTGCTCCGAAGTGTGGCAGCGTGTCTGTAAATGAGGTTGAAAATTGATGTGCATCTAGTTGTTGTCAGGAAACGTTTGAAAAGCAGCTTTTCCTCGAAACGCCATGTTGCACCTGTCACTGCACTAAATTGAATTTAGACTTTATATAGAGTATCAAGGTTTTCTAGCCTCCCCTGCACACAAATACCCTTTACCATGACATCTTAAATGTATGAACAGATGAATAAACCAAACAAATTAACACTTTTTAACAAAATTTTTACCTGGATTAATGTCCTTGCAAATCCAAAGGTCCCTTTTTTAAAAAGTTCTTCAAAATGAAGAGAAGAATACAATTAGGCACAAAAGTCCCTTTCAAATATATTTTTCAACCAGATCTTATTTTTTAATATGCTTTTAAATATTCAAAATGAATTCAGATACTAAATCTTGAGTCATTCTGCACATCTTTCTCTTGAGGATGGACTGATTATGCTGTATGCCTGTTGATTATTCACCATATGATTTTCCCACCAAGAAGAACCACTCACATCCAAATGGTGCTACAAAATGTAAGAATTGTGCAAAGAAAATGGCCAAGTTGTGATGAAGCTGCTTAAGCCAAGATGTCTGACAGCGACATCAATCTTTCTGTTGATGGGTAAAATTGCACATGAATCAAATATTTTAAGCCTTTGAGTAAAAGTTGGACATTTTGATGAATGAACCTGAATGCAGTATAACAGCAGTGTGAAAGGTGGAACTTCAAAGATGGCTGCTTCTGTGTAAAGAATGTGATTAGGAAGCGTTCTGGCACCTGACAGCCTCTGTGTAGCTAAATTGTGCCGGGACGACAAACTGGGACTGAAATAAACATTTCAGTTGTCAAAGACTTGTCAACGTTTCTTCTGTTTTTATTCTTCTGTGTGTTCCCTGAAAAGACAGTTTTTCTGATTTCTTGCCTTTTTTATAAGCTGAATTCTTCCTGAGATGTGTTTCGAGAAAATACACACACATACACCCAAATCTTGAACTTTGACCCTGCAGAGTCATTTTAGAGGCTCAGGCCATACAGTCATAGATTCACACACTCAGTCCAGTCCTCCGTCCTTGCTGACGGCCTTGCAGCAATATGGCAAGAAAAAGTAATCCTCATTGTCTGTCCACCAGTTATCCAGTGAAAGGCTAATCCATTAAATACTGGAGTTCATCCAACTGTTGACAGATTAACCTACTGCATCCTGGGAGAGACACACACACACACACATGCTCACACGCACCCCTACCCTGTCAAATGATGAAGCAGCACTGGAATTGTAGCTTTTCAGAAGGAATCTGTTGCTATAAATGTAAGATTGACATGTTAAGCAATGTTTGTAGTAGCAGGTAGTAGTGGAAGGTAATTAAGTACATTTACTCAAGTACTGCACTTGAGCAGAGTTTTTAAGATACTTTTGAGGTAGTATTGGCATTTTATGCTACTTAAATCTTTTACTTTACAACATTTCATAATCGAACATTGTGCTTGTCACTCCTTTACCGCTATAGTTACTATGGTTGCTTATAGATTTAGACACATATGAGCCATTTTAGCAGTGGTTACCTGGGGCCCTTTGCTAGCTTTCAAATGTTCAGGAGTTGTTACCTCTTCTTACATGGTTTAATTAAAAAAAGAAAAACTATTGGAGGCCCAAATGGGTAAAGCAATTCAATATTTTACAAAAATGATCCAAAAAATTAAGAAAAATGTGTACAGCAAACCCTGTGTTTTTCTAGTCTCCTACCTTTCATTTCTCTGATTTATCTTGCAACCCTATGGAGGAGTCCAATCCTTGTGTGAACCACAAGACTAAACTACTAAACTCAAATTATAAATATAAATTAGTTAAATTAGCTCCACCTTGACCAGCTAGAGCAGTAAAATGTTACTTATGCATTGAGGCATCAGTATCAACTGTCTAATAATGTCATATATAATAAATAATTAACACTTATGGGGGCCAATTTCTTTTGTACTTTTATTTTGGATACTTTATTTTAGTTTAGTAATGGAGTATTTTTACTTACTGGTACTTTTACCAAATATAATTCTTCCACCATTGGCACTACAGTAAGTCAGACAGGCATCTGATTTGTGGCTCTGAGGCTGCAGGGTGCACTTCCCCCTTATAGCCACCAGAGGCCCCATAGAGTCTCTGCAGCAGCCCCAAGGAGGGGCGCGGCTCTGCACCGACTCTGGTCAATGAGTTCCTTGTGGTGAGGAGAAAAGTCAGGCTCGGTGCCAGAGATGCGCACATGCAGCACACACACATACACACACACACACACACACACACACACACACACACACACACACACACACACACACACACACACACACACACACACAAAGGCAGTAGAAAAAAGCACTGTGACACCACATTCAATAGCCATATTATTAGCCCCTGAAATATTTTCAGAACCATGTGCTTTTCCCTGATATAGTGGGATGGGGTGAGACACACAAATTCATCACACACACACACACACACACACACACAGACACACACACTACTAACCTGATGTACAGTACCTCTACTGTGACCTACTGTATGTATCAATGTGTGTGTTTGACTTGTTGAGTGCTAAAGATGCCAAATGTAACTGAAGCTGCTTTACCTCACAACACCCCAAACCTACAACTCTGCCTGTGTGTGTGGACTAAAATTTTACCAATACAGATTCATTGTCCGTGCATGCATGTACACACCAAGTGCCTTGTGTGTCAGTGTGTATTTGGGGGGGGAGTTTTGGTGAGGACCTTTGTGTTACGCTGTGCAGCGGTTGAGACTAAGTTACATATATGAAGTGCAGGGCGGAGATCCGGGAGCTGTGAGCTGAGCCAAGCTGGCTAGTCCTGCTACAGTACTGCTGCGACTGCAACACACACACACACACACACCGAGTTGGGGGAAACGAGGTCGGCTTGGCATTTTGTCAAATTTCTCTCTCTCACTCGCTCTCGCCAAGCGCTGCGTAGGATACTATACTACACACACACACACGCAGAGGGGTTCTGCTCTACTGCACCATTTTAGAAGGCTGGGGGCATGCAGTGCACACACACTTTTACACACACACTGCAATTTTCTTTCAAAAACGAGTACATGTACTGAATGTAGGGGGACATATTAATCATGCTAAGTGGATTCACCTCATGAAAAGAAGAGTCCTTGGTATTTTGTAGGCCAATTTCAGCTCAGTGGAGCATTTTGTGGAGATTGTGGGGGAATGCAGTTATTTTTAATAGCCAGAGTTGCAGTATGAATATATGTATTCTTCTCATAAGTCACATCCCAATCCACTGCCAATTTGTAGACAATTTGTAAGCTGTAACATGCGATAGTAGAAAATGCTCCAAAGGGATCAAAAACCTACTTCTTTCATCGTGGTGCAGAAGCCTCTGAGTCCCAAAGCAGCTCAATTACTCCTCTGATGTGGTTTTCATTTTTCATCGTAACGCCACCATCATGACAGCTGTAGCACAAGAAAAGAAAAACAAATGTAGTGTGGCTTTTGCACTGAAAAAAAACCCACATCCATTGTTTGCTCAGATGCACACAGCGAAGCCTCTGCTACCCTGCCAGGTTCAGTTATGTAAAAAAAATACAAAACTTGATGTGAGTGACATTTAGGTGTGCTCTGTGTGTGTGTGTGTGTGTGTGTGTGTGTGTGTGTGTGTGTGTGTGCTTCACAGTTGCCCTCCTGGACTCTCTCTCCCACTCCCACGTTTACCTTGAAAGCAATCTCTACACTATTTCCTCCCTTCCCTTCCATCCCTCTCCCGCCTCCCTGCACTAGGAAAAACAGCAAAATAATCCCTTCTGAGTCGTCCGTGGTATTTTTAAAGGACATTGGCCCTTACACAAGCTAAGCTGCTTAATATTAATACTGCAGTCATTCCTTGCTGTTTCCTGTGTTTGCAGGAGGCGTGTGTGCGCGTGTCCGAGGCTATATATAGGCTAACTGGGCTAATAAATAGGGATTAGGCGACTCTGTGGCACTGATTGAAAAATGGTGTACTTCAGAAGGAACAGCAAGCTGACATATTGGACCCCCAATAGTTATGTGTGAATTACAGCATAGCGGTCACTTGACGTGAGAGTTGGAAATTAGATGGGAGAGATGGAATAGAAAGAGAAAGACAGAGGTTGAGAGTGAAATGATGTAGAGAGATGATAGAGGAAAAGACACTGGTGGAAGAAGTATTCAGAAACTCCTCAGATTTTACACATCAGAGTCCGTTTATGGGTCTCGAGGATTACTTACTACTTGGTTGCCCATTTTGTCTCACAATTTTAAAACCAGGAAATCTATTCACAATTTAACCTATAGTTGGAGTGAAAGCAATTGTATATATAAAAGAAAACAGCAGTGTTTCTCACTTTTAGAATAAGAAGAATTAAATTTCTTACCTCGCAAAGTAACTAGTAACTCCAGCTATCAAGTGAATGTAAAAAGTACAATCTGTCCCTTTTCAGATTGTCGTAGACTAGAAGTATAAGTGAGCACAAAATGGAAAAAGTCAAGTAGAGGATTAATAACTCAAATTTGTACTGAAGTCGGTCCACCACTGGGGAAAGGACACTAAGAAAAGTAAAGGATTTAAAATGATGGAGAAAAAAAACAGTCAGGAAAGCTAAACTATGAGCTTGATAAAAAAAAAAAAACTGATCCAGAGGAAAGAAGAAAAACAAGAGAGGAAGAGAAAGAGAGATGGCAAGGAGAACAGGCAGGTCTATTGTCAAGAGGACAGAGGGATAACGTTACTGTTTGTGAACTGTACACTAAGCACGCATTTTGTGATGAGTTTGCTAAAAAGGGGGCTGCTAAAAACTCCTATTTCTCATTTTCAGAACACCCATCGAGTTCAGAGCTCCGCACCGCTGAGCTCGACTTACAGCGTTTGATGGTATGGCACACTGGTTGCTGTTTGAGTGACAGCTCTTGCGATGTGGAGCTTGGAAGCCCCGGTTACGCCACCTCCTTTGATCGCAGACGCAGAATACGGCACCGCAAAGAGGAGAAGTCATGTGGAAGCTTGTCTATTTGTCCCCTGACAACCTTTTCAATGCTGACATTTTATTGTTTCCCTTCTGGCTGGGTTCTGGACTGAATTTCTTTTAACATGTATTTGTGTGTGTTTGTGCTAAAGTCTGCTGTGTGTACTGAGCGGTGCATTTGAACCGTGCTCCCTGACATGTTAATAACAGGTTTTCATCTTCTACAGATGTGTGTATGACTATGTTTCTTGCTGCTCGCTCTCTCTCTCTCTCTCACACACACATTTTGTGTTTTGGAAAATATGATTGAAGCTGCCGATAGTCGATATGCAGTTTATATTTAAATCGGACAATTTTCACAGCCGTAAATTACATGGATTTTATGTTTCCCGCAGACCTTTATTTTTGGCAGTGTGAAGTAACAGTGCCTCTAAAACAACATTCAGAGCCTCATAAGAGGCACTAAACTGTGCAGGAACAAGTACAAACCAAAGTATTTAGGTGGGTTTGCAGTGATATAAAGAGTTCCTTTTATAGGAAGTAAAATTTATAATAATGCAGTTAAATAAAGGGGGTAAAAAAGAATTTAACTTAATTTCGAAACATGTTAAAACAGGAATAAATGTCTGCAGCCATGGTAGCGCCTCTGTGAGGCTGTGAGTAGCTCGCTTAAGCTACATATGAGCATGCTCGCAATGACAACACAACAGTGTTTTCTGTATTTATCATTTTAGTTTATTGTGTTAGCATGCTAACATTTGCTAATTAGCCGTAAGCACAAACTACAGCTGAGGCTCACAGGGATGTCATTAGTTTTGCAGGTATTTGGTCATAAACCAGAGTATTTGACAAATTTAATTTAAATTCTGACCTGATGATGAAAAGTCAGGGGATCCTTAACGTTATAACAATTTATCCTTTGATGAACATGAAAGTCAATTGAAACTTTCAAACGATTAAAATATTTAATCGCGATTAATTGCATTAATGTCATAGATAACTCTCAATTAATCGCAATTATTCGCACATTTTTATCTATTCTAAATGTCCCTTGATTTCTTTTTGTCCCATTATTTTTTCTATTTTAATGCTCTTATCAACACGGAGAAGTGGATCGACTTGCTTTGTGCAAATGTTGTTTTTATTGAAAAATCATCCATTGTCGCCTGGCTTTGATGGGGGGCGGAGAATTCAGCTGTGTGCTTGGCCATCAAGTGGTATTTCAGACTGGACGTGCTGCGATGATAGCTCAGTTCACAACAACAAAACACACAGATCACATTGGTCTTGTTAATGGAACCATTTGGCAACTTTTTAAAACTTTCCATTCAGAATATTATTGGCATCCATTTCGGCGTCTCGCGCTCGCCATCCACTCAAAACGTAACGTCTACTACTCTTAAACAAGTGTGTGCGGCATGCCTGTTGTTTTGTTTCCGGTCTAGCTAGATCCGATGTGGTGTTGTAGTTTTTCTAACGTTACTAGTTGTTGCAAACAGCATGTGAAAAAAACGACTAAGTTAAACAAACGTTAATCTCGCATTAAAAAATTGACGCCGTTAAAATGGGTTTGCGTTAATGCCGTTAATAACACGTTTAACTGACAGCACTAATTGAAATATGTCAGTCTGGACCAAAGCGGTGGGCCAACCAACAGACATCCCTAGAACACTGCTGCTAGCATGGCTAATCAAAAAACTGAAAAAGAAAACCATTCTTCCAATCAGCATTTCAAACCCTTCATTCAGTAGGTCTTCCTACTTAAAATAAGTTACAATGTTAGCTTATCAGGATCTAGTATTGTTACTGTCTAGCATTTCAGAAATTGGAATTTGTAAAATGCTGTCAACACTTTTTTTCCCATCCTGAATTGGGGTATGGTGGATTAATTGGCAAAACCATTATAAAATGATTAAACAAACACATAAAATAAAGCAAATGGATCTTCGTTCCTATCACCAGTAGCTAAGGGCAAACCCTAACGCACATGCACACATAACACACCACATCTGTAGATCGGAACCAGCAGGGAAAAGAAATGTCAAAATGCAAACATTGGCCGCAAACTCCAAAGTGATCGCTGCGTTTTCTCCTGAGTTATGGCGCAATGCAGCCCCCTGTAATTTACCTTCTGTCGGAGCACGTAGGGCCGTTCGCCCAGCATTCCTCTGCCTGCCCACCGCAACACATGAAAGCTTCGGCCACAGCTGTTCTAGATGGGGGGAAATGAGTCCCAGATGGCAAAGTGTTTTGTGTGTATGTGTGCGCTGTGTTTCTTGCCACATAAGAGAGTGCTTTTACTGTACAAGTGGCCTGAGTCACATCCCCGGGGTAATGTGGGGAAGACTATTGCGGGATGCCGGGGGCGTGTGGGTGTAGCCTACTATATGTGAATGCACGTTTGCTGTCCGCAGAGCAGCTGGTATGCACTGGACATGTGTGTGTTCATGCTTGTACATACAAGCACACAAGTTCTGACTATTCCTACTCTGAACTTTGCGTAAAATAACACCAGACGCCAAGCAATCGACAAATTGCCAGCGCTGCTCTGTATATGTGCTGCGTCATGCACGCTCAATACAGCTTGAAGGCTATTGATTACTCAGCTGCAAAAAGCTTCCATACTGCTGTTAAACTATGCATGTCAAACCATAGAGGATATCCTCTGGAAAGATGGGATTTTCCTTATGGTAGGAGATTGACAGTCAACCCTCTATACTGTATATGTATACGTTTCTGAATTGATCTGTCTGCCATTCATTCATGCATCATTTCATCCATTCATGCAACTATTCATTTGTTAATCTTTTGAAACTGACAGTGTTTATAAGCTGAATGAGCCACGTCAACCAAGTGCTAAAAATAAATCACAATGAACTGCGGTCCAGAGGGAACATTTGTAAACTGCTCTTTTGCAAGAGGCTGAATAAGCTGCGAGAGGAGTTGCACTGAAACACAGCACTTGAAGACAATTAGGACATATTAATGTTATCCATTTGATTGTACTTCGATGTGCTTTGTATGTATGTGTTATCATGCAGTACATGAAGGCTTTTCTTTAAGAATATCATGTCTGTGTAATGCAAAATAGGTCTCTTTCTGTTTCAAAATCAAGTTGATATAATAGTAGAAGCTATTCCCAGTAGTGTTGAGTCTAGGCTGGTTACACATTCCTACAAATACAATTAGCTGTGATCATGAGAAGGAAAGGAGGATGGAGGGTTGTTCATGGCGGGAAAGTAAGAAAGGTTTGAACATCTCCTTTAAGTTCTTTAATGTCATTCTTATTTCACTTTTTGTGAGCACATACCAGTTGTCCAATTGAAACAATTAGGGACCCTTTCACATGAGCACTTTCACCTTTAGATGTGGTTGAATGACACTTGTCACATGCTTGTGTGAGTTTGTTCTCTGTCTTCCCATGACTCTCATTCTAGGTCAGAGTTCACGCGACATGACCTCTTTTCCTGTAAC